TCAGAGTGAAATCTCTTCTGTTTGCCTGTTCTACTCTCTTCTGCTGCCAGTTTTTTGATGACAGTATTCCTTATACTTGAAATGCCCTTTCCTGGTCATTTCCTCCTTTTGCAAGTCTCCCTATCCCATAATGTCCAGTACAAATGCTATTCCCTTCATGTGTATACCCAGTCATCAATAAGCTATTTCCCCCATGGAAGTCTCAAATAATTTTGCTCATCCTACTCTTTTACCTACCAAACCATGATACTCACAGTTTGTTTTGTAATGGTATATATTTTAACTACCCTCCCTAATTATAATCTCCTTGGGGTCAGGGACGGTTCCTCATTTTTGTATTTTCCTGACTACATACCAGTCAACGGCTATGCTAGCAGAGTGCTTTACAAGTAGTTTTGATATTTAATAAATATTTACCTAATAATACAAAATTGATCTGAAAGATGGAGCTCCCCAAACAATTACGTATACAAATATATGAGGAATCTGTAATTTCATCAGTGTGGAGCAATATCTTATAACTCGTCTATGACTTAGTAGAAGTTCCAACACCCAAAGTGGTGGTTCTAGAAGAGTGCGTCACTAGTTTTGAATAAGCATGACAGGAGATATCTCCATTCTCTAGCTCCTGCCACCAGCTGTGGTTTTCCATCCGTTTTCCTGGCTTGACATTGGGGAGGTCATAGTAGCAGCATCTGCTACTGCAAGTCCTGGGGAAATATTTAAGGGGGATTAAGCCAAAGAGGTTGGGAATTAGAAGGAGAAATAGAAGAACCCCAAAATCAACATAACAGGTCTAGAAGCCCAACTGCCCAAGAACCCTTCTTTGTTGCCAAATTCAATTTTCAGTATTTTTAATTTTTTTTAAAAAATTTTCTCATGATAATTAACACTGTGCCATATACCAGAAAAAAGATTAAGAACCACTGAGATAAAAGTTAAGCAATCTGCCCATGTTCACATAGCTAATAAGTGCCAGAGGTGGGACTGGAACCCAGGCCTGGCTTGTTGACTCTAAGCTCAGCACTCTACGTACTACACCATACAACCTCCAAGCACCTGATTTATTACCAAGACATAAAGTACAGCCAAGGGCTGTGATACCTCAGTTAACGACCTTCCAAGAATGAAGTTTCTTTATAATAAGATTAGCTATAGGGAAAAAATAAAATTCCCATAAATCTTGCAGAGCAGTGTTGGCATAAAGCAGAGGCATTGTTCCTTGGCACTAAGCTGTAGATAGGTGTGCCTAACTGTGCAGAACAAAAATACCTTGTGCTCAGCTTCTATTTGTCCACTTTGGGCTGAAAGTAAACAGAGCTAGCCCTAGGCAAAAAGAATGGCACAGTTTATCTTTGGCATTCCCAGCTTCCTTTTCTCACCCTTTCCCAGCTTCCCTGCCTTTTTGGTGATCAATATCCACCTGATCTTCAATACTTTCCCCCCTTTTAAAGCAAGAAAGGATCTAATATCATCCATTTTTCCTTATCATATGAATCAGAATGGACAGTCTCTTCCCATCCAAAGGCACCTGTACTCCTCTAGGGAAGATGAACCAGGAGGCATGCTATGCCTATGCTGAGTTGCTACAGGAAGTAGAAGAAGGATTGGAGAATGGATTAAAGGAAGTCAGGTAGAAAGGAAAGAAAGAACAAAAAGGAGAACAAGCATTTATTAAGTACCTACTATATGCCAGACACTGTGCTGAGCACTTTACACATATAATCCCATTTGATCCTCCTTAGGAAGCAGGTACTATTATTATCCCCATTTTACAGCAGAAGAGACTGAAGCAAAATGAGGTTAAGTGACTTGCCCATGATCATACAGCTGGTAGATGTCCGAAACCAGATTTGAACTTGTGTCTTCCTGACTTCAGGCCCAGCACTTTATCTGCTTGTGGCTGGGAGGTAGAGGGCAGGAAACATCCCTCTATTTTCCAGGACCTGGAATCCTTTATGCTTTAGAACAGGTCTATGTGGCAGGTTCCCTCTCTTCAGGCACTGCCTTCTTCCCTTCTGTTTCCTTTTCTGCTCGAATTCAGATCAGGACCCTTTTTTCCCCACTATTTTTAACCCTCTCCTGCGTCTTCCTTAAGAATTTTGAATGCAAATGTTAAATTTTCTGGACACACATGAAATTATGTAATATTTCATTTTTTTAAAAATTACTCCCTTTCCCCAATTTCCTTGGAAGCATCCCTATGTCTCTAATGTAACATGTAAATTCTGTTGAAGAAGTATATTCTTACAATCCATTTTCATTGATAATGGAGGCATTACTCTACAGTGCTATGCAAATCTAGGTTTAACTGAATTTTATGCATGCTTATTAATCATTACAACAGTATATGGCCAGCTGTCCATATGAACAAGTTCTTGAGTTCAACATAACATTTAACATCCAAATGGGAATCTACCCCTTCCATAAAATTTCAGTTAAATGGTTGTGAGTCTTGACCTTAAGTTGTGGTTACCTATTTGGAAGGTTATTATTGTAGAATTAAATCATGTAGTTTCTTTGTACACTCTGAATCTCTTTGTTGGAAGGGACACTGCATTATGAGAAGCATAATGTCCTGGACTGAGGAAATGACAGTTCTTCTATAATCAGCTCTGTTTAGCCAGTCTCTGGAATATTGAGTTCATTTAGAGTCACCATATTTAAAAAGGACACTGATACACTGGAGAGTTGACCTGAGAAAGGTGGATGGTATGTCAAAGGGTCTTGGATCAGTTGAAGGAAATGGGAATATTTAGGTTAGAGGAAAGTAGAAGTGATAACTATTTTTAAAACTTGAACAGCTCTCATCAAGAGGAATGATTAGATATCTGCTTGGCCTCAAAGAGCAGAATTTGGAACATTGCATGGGAGTTGAAAAGAGACACATTTCAGTTTGGTGTAAGGAAAAACTTCCAAACCATTAAGAGACATTGAAGAGTGGAATGGACTGCCCTGCCTTGGAAGGTAGCAGGATTCCATCTCTGGAAGTCTTCAAGCAAAGGCCAAATGTCACAGAGCAGATTCTTGTTCAGGAATGGGTTGAACTCTTAAGTTCTCTTCCGATTCTGAAATGAGGGAATAATGTGTGTTTCCTAAACATTTTAAATTAAACTATGTTGAGAGTGGTTTTTTTCATATTTTGAATCATTTTGTCTACAGCAAAATATATTGGGAAGAAAAGGTCAGCTAATGTCAGGATAGTCATATAGCTGAGACATTACATGGCATAATAGATAGATGGCTGGCTTTAAAGTCAAGAATACCTGAATTCAAGCCCTGACTCAGATACACACTCTACCTATGTATCCCTGGGCAAGTCACCTAACCTCTTATTGACTCTTCTAACTCTATAATGCCATAAATTGCAGATGAATTATTGACCTGCATATGTAGAGGGAGCATCCAAACAAGAAATTCCCTGCACCAATGAAATTATAGGTCACCATTGCTATAGCTAAACTGTTCATTTCCAATGATAATGACTCATTTACTAATAATGCTACATGCAGAGAGGTAATTATCTACAACCTGTACTCACACAGAGACACTATTTGAGGGCTCCCAGCACTCACTGATAACAAATCAGGAATGTTTCATTATTTCTGAATAAGTTTTTCTCCAAGTAGAGCTTTTCTCCATATAATTATGATCATCACAAAAAAAATACAGTTTTAAGACTAAAAATTCCTTTGAGATCTCTACAGCTGACCCCTGGTACCATGATAAAGATTGGTAGTATTATTCAGTCATTTTAAAGTCGTATCTGACTCTTTGTGACCCTATTTGGGGTCTTTGCCAAGAAAACTAGAGTGGTTTACCACTTTCTTCTCCAGCTCATTTTATAGATGAAGAAACTGAGGCAAAGAGGGTGAAGTGACTTACCCAGGGTCACACAGCTAGGAAGTATCTGAAGCCAGATTTGAACTCAGGAAGATGAATCTTCTTGACTCTAGGCCTGGCAGTATATCCACTGTGCCACCTGCCTTCCCTAATAGAGATTTGTACTCTGGCTTCATAGAATTATTTGCTCTCACATGTTAAGATCTTCGTCTCTGAAGTCCTCTTACTTCTAATAAGATAGGTTGATTTCTTCCTCAGTTCGATGAACTGGATGTTCAATGTGAATGATTCATAATAAAGGTATGTTCCCTGAGCTAAATTTCAAAGTCTCAAATGGAATTTTGAATGAAGCCTATAATTTTAGGGTTTAGTTTTGATCTCTGGCAGTGATAAGCCTGTCTCTACATTTAGGCTCATTAGAATTTACTGGCTCCTTTCTGATTCATAAGCCCTTTCTTACGTGAAGAATGATTCATGAATCAGAGAAACAAAATTCATCTGAATAAAAAGTGGAAGTAGATGACTGAATCTTTTTCATGTTAAAAATCCTACACATAAATTCTTATCTGCTTAATATAAGTTTAAGGGGACTTTGATCCACCTACAAATGTTCAACATGAATTTTGGATATGTCTTAAAATGAACCATGGAGTGGTTACAACAGAATCTACTAGTAGGACTCTTTAGTATCAGCCAACATTTGCAGTTTCTATTTCCAGCCATTCCTAGAATAGGAATCATGACATATCTAGGGAAAAAAATAGCTCCATTTTTAAAGAGTCTCCATTTTGTCATCATTAAAGATGAATAACACCTAGTTTGTTTTGGTGTTGTCAAAATTAATGAAAATATCTTAAATACTTATGATAAATACAACAAAATATTAATCTTTGTTTCTAATTTTGATTAGGCTGACCATATCTCTACTGACATTTCTTTCCATCAAACAGAATACAAAACAACTCAGAAATTCAAAACAATAAAAGAATGGACAACTAAGAAATGGATGTCACTTGGGTTCTGAAATCCTTTTTTATTTTTATTCACTTGATAAAAACATGTTTATTTTCTAAAGAAAAATGTTCAGACAGTTAATATGATTTTCCTCGTCCAAATAAGGCAGAAGATTAGGTGAAACTAACTGAATGTCATCTTACCTAGTAACAGTAAATGCTTGAATAAGATCCAGAGTGACCAACGTAACAGGTTTCACGTGTCCTTGGCAGGAATTTCCTTGTTTGCAGTCTACTCACATGTTTCCATTGCTGAAAATAAAACAAAAACAATGTTTACAGATTTAATGGAGCATCTAGATGGTGCAGGGGATAGAGCAGGCCTGAAGTTAGGAAGACCTGAGTTAACATCTGGCCTCAGACACTTAGTAGTTGTGTGACCCTAGGCAAGTCACTTAACCCTGTTTGCCTCCTTATCTGTAAAATCAAGTGGAGAAGAAAATGGCAAACCACTCCAGTGTCTTTGCCAAGAAAACCCCAAATGGGGTCATGAAGAGTTCAACATGACTGAAAATGACTGAACAGCAAAAACAGATTTTGTGAAAGCCCCATGACACAAAGAGAAATCTTTTCTATTTGAGGTTGAAACAATATTATATACACAAGTATGGGTCAGCTTCCCATTGTTTTCTGGTAATGTCACCACCTCCCCCAAACCCTAAAATCTTGAAGTTATAATATGATTACCAACTGTGACATAATTTTTTTTGAGCATTCTTTCTCAAACTTTTGAATTTGAAAACTTCATAATACCAAGTATTCATAGGTTTTTCAAATATTTAGTGTTTCTGAAAACAGCAGTGATTGAAATAAGGAATTTATAAACCTAGAATAGTTATTATAATAAGATTACCAATTTTTACTACTCCTAGCTTATTAACTCCATAACATATGAAACCTAAAGGATCCTCAGAAGTAATTCAGGCAGCCAGCCATGGTGATGTATCCCTGTAATCCCTGCCAGTGGGGGGAGACTGAGACTGATGATCACCTGAGCTCTGGAATTCTTAGCTGCAGTAGGACTAAAGTCAATTAGATATATGAACTTAGTCCAGCACCAATATGATAAGCTCCCAGGGAGCAGAAAGTAGCATAACCAGGCTGCCTAAAGAAGACAAACTGGCCCGGTCAGAAAAAGAGCCGGTCAAATCTCCTATGACAGTCAGTAGTGGGATTCGGCTCATGAGTGATTGTTTCACCTCTAGCCTAGATGAGATAGGAAGAGCCATTCTCCAAAAATGAAGAGGGAGAAGGAGAAAAATAAGGAGGAGGAAGAAGAAAAGAAGGGGAAGAGGAAAAAAAGAAGAGGAAGAGGAAGAAGATTATTGATAATAGCATTCAGAGGTTGGAGAGAGCTCTTTTATGGAATTAAATGTCACTGTTTCCAAGATGAATTTGATATGTCCACCTACAATTTATAAAATTACAAAAATGGGAAGGCTCTATAGGGATCTTTCCTTTCATAATCCAGCTCTCTGGAAGGACTGTGCCTATTGTACCCTAGGAAGTGAGCTCATGCTCTATTTGAGACTGGCCATTCTCAATCTTCTATAATGATTCAGTACTAATAGGTAGAAAATATTTCCTTATTTATAACATAAAGCCTTCTGCTACAAGTTAGGGCAGGGCTTCCTAACTGAGGGTCTGTGAACTCTTAAAAATTATTTTGAACTCTGTGTTTCAGTATAATTAGTTTCCTTTATACTCAAATGTATTTTATTTTATGCATGTAGAAACATTATTCTGAAAAGGTTTCGATAGACTTCACCAGACTGCCAAAAGAGTCCATGATACAAAATGTTTAAGTCTGAATTAGGACAATTAGAGACTCCAAGGTCTTGAAGAGGCCTAGAAATATCATATAGTCTTCCCTTAACAATCTCTCTCTCTCTCTCTCTCTCTCTCTCTCTCTCTCTCTCTCTCTCTCTCTCTCTCTGTCTCTCTTAGTTAGGCAATGGGGTTAAGTGACTTGGCCAGAGTCACACAGCTAGTAAGTGTTACGTGTCTGAGGCTGGATTTGAACTCAGGTCCTCTTGAATCCAGGGCCGGTGCTCTATCCACTGCGCCACTGCCTCTAACAACCTCTCTTAAGAACCCATTCTGAAACTGCGGAGAAAATACTGTGTCTTAAGTTTACTTGGTGGCTCCCCTTTAGATACATCCTTCAAAAAGCTTCCCTCCTTTGTCTTTCCTCTCCACCTCCCTTCACTCCTTTCAGCCTTTGCTTTGTTGATGCATCATTATCCAGATAATATGGGTAGCCCAACAACAGGTCCTGCTATTCTTACCCATCTTATTTTCAACATTTAAAATAAATCCATTTTTAGCTTGGTTTGGCTTTAATAATTGCAGCATTCATTACACAATTATAGCCTGATCACCATATTACTAAGATATACTTTTCTATGCACAGAATGTGTTTGAGATGATAAGATTTTTCAGTATGAGATCTAGCAAATATTTTGCTAATAAATTACTTAAATAAAAGGTTGTTTTCAGAGTGAGCAGGGTATTACCATCCCCTTTCTATTAATAAGCTGCTATTTGGGTCTACCTCTAGTCTCAGCCTGTGGGTGCTTAAGCACACACACTTATGTGCAATGAATTTTGACCAGCTTCAAACTCTTCCAGGCTTGGAACTATGGAAAATGATCCACAGAATCCATTGCAAGTTACATAGTCTCACTTGATGGTGAGAGACCAAGTGCTTAGTCAAGAAAGAACTAGTAATCATGGATCTAGTGGTTAATATTTGGTTGGTTTAAAAGGGGATCCTTAATTTTAATGACTCCTTTTGTGAGTTGAACTGCCAGCCCACAGTATCAATAGTGGGATGGCAGCCCCACTACCTAAAATTCATTTTTCCCACAAAATATAAGTGAGACAATTATTGGTCCAAGGAAGGACTTATTACCAGTTAAAGCTGTCGGGAAAGGAGTGGGCCACTTCATGAGTTTCATATTCTTCATTTCGGGAGGTATTCAACTGGAAGACAATTTACCATGTCTCAAGGATATTAAAGAGGGATTTATTCATTAGGCAAGAAATTATATTCCATGACTTCCAAGGGACTTTTCCAATTCTAGGATTCTGTGATTCTAACCTAAATGAGATACTCACTGGCTGCTCCAAAACTGGTTTCCAATCATATCTTCCATATGTAATTTTTACAGATTAAAAGTAATATTTTATATAAAAGATCAAATAAAGATTTTCTTTAAGTGAAAAAAGAACCCATTCTGATAATTGCAATGGCCTTTTAAATTCTTTTCACTTTTTCAATAACTTCATTTCCTACAAAGTATAGTCTTCCTAGAGAAGATATATAATAGATCCCACTTTGTGTCTCCCTCAGTTCCTAGCACTGTGCTTTCTGCACATTGTATATACTTAATCAACATTTGTCAAATTGACCTAACTGTCCTCAGTGGAGATACATTTCATAATAGTTATATTTATCCTTTATCCTCATCTAAATCGCTGATAAAAATTCACATTCCCTATATAACATCAAAAGAGCCTTCCTTCCTCATTGAAATTGATTCAATACTCTATGGACATGACTGTTCAACCAGCTGTATAATTTCACTAATGAACTAATCTTCAGCAAATGTTTTGACAGTTAACCACAGTATATCATGAAAGATTTGTTTGAATATCTTCCTGAAGTCCAGATACATTTTGTCCATGGCTTTTGCCTGATCTACCAAGCTAGAAAATTTGCCCACAAAAGAAAATGAGGTTATTTTGACATGACTTGTTCTTAGTGAAGCAGTACTGGTTCCTAATGCTCTGGCAGGACCATAGTTGGGAACTTTACTTCACTACAAATTCTTAATTCCTGGGGAATCATTTTAACTTCTCATCTCTATCATGAGAGGCAGCCTTTTCTAGTAGATAGAGAGCTAATTCTGGAATCAGAAAGACCTGATTTCAAGTCCTGCCACAGACATGTACTCACTTTTTAACCCTGAACAAGTCCCTCTTATTGCTTGTGCAAGTCACAGAGCAGTGTATCACCAGTCTTGCTAAAGAAAGTATCCTTACTGGTTGTTCTCAATACTACTATCATAGTTCCAATTGAAAAAAAAAATCTCCATCACAAATGAAGTTAAATGAATTATTTGACTGTGATAATATCAGGTAAGGAAACCCTGAGCCTGTCACCATAGCACAAACCCCACCCTGGACAGCTACAGGCATCCTAGGACAATTGTTGTATTATTTTGGATGAATGAATTTAATTTAACTTTCTTTTAAAAATGTGGGCACACTGAATGAATGAATGAGAATTCATTAAGTAATTACTATGTGCCGGATATTTATTCTTCTTGACCTCTGCAAGCCTTTGACACTATTGGCCACCCTCTTCTCCTTGATAGTCTAAGTTTTCATGATACTAGCCTCTCTTTCAACCTATCTGCCCACTTCTTCTCACTCTCCTTTGCTGGCTCTTCATCAAAGTCATGCCTGCTAAATGTGGATGTTCCAAAGGACTCTGTCCTAGGTCCTCTTCTCTTCTCCCTCTATACTGCTTCACTTGTCAATCTCATCAGCTCCCTTGGATTTGATTATAATCTTTATGCTGATGGTTCTTAAATCTATTTATCCAGCACTAGCCTCTCTTTTAGCTTCGAGTCTCTCATCTCTAACTGCCTATTAGACAACTCAAATTGGATGTTTGGTAGACATTTTAAATTCAATATATCCAAAGCAGAACTCATTATCTTTCCCCTCAAACCCTCCTCTCTACCTAACTTCCTGATTACTGTTGAATGGACCATCATCCAGGTCTGCTAGGCTCACAACCTAGATGCCACCCTTAATTCCTCCCTCTCTCACCCTCCATATCAAATCTGTTGCCAACACCTGTCAATTTTACCTTTGTAACGTCTCTAATATGTGCTGTCTTCTTTCCTCTCACACTGCCACCACCCTACTGCAGGCCTCCATCACCTCATGCCTGGGCTATTAAAATAGCCCACTGGTTGTTCTGCCTGCCACAAGTCTCTCCCCACTCTAGTCCATCCTCCACTCAGCTGTCAAAGTAACCTTCCTAAAGCACAGTTCTAATCATAATACCCCCCTTAATAATCTCTAGTGGCTCCCTATAACTTCCAGAATCAAACATAAAATATACTGTTGGGTGTTCAAAGCCCTTCATATCCTTCTCCCCTCACTTTTGGATATTTTTACACCCTATTTTTCTCACTCTACTCCTTGATCCAGTGATATTGACCTCCTTGCTGTTC